ACTTTTTGTTGAAAATTTCATTTCAAAGTCCTTTGATTATTCCAAAGTGCGAATTCAGGACGTTTAAAAGCAAGTAATATATCGGCAGAATGCAACAAGTAGAAGATGAATATATGGAATGTCTGCCTTTATTTCACTATATATTTGTTAACAAATGGGTAATTATTTTGGTTTTTCCTCCTTACTTGCTAAAAAATATTTTCACATAATCAGCTTATTTACAGAGAGAATAGCAACTTGCAGATAATAAGATGACCTCTGTACTTTCTAATGCTACTCACATTTAGAGAATATAATGTATTCCAGCCTCAAAGAATCGTTCATCTTTCATGAAATTGCATGGTAACACAGTTGTTGTGAAACGTCATCGATGACATTTTCACAAGAGGAGTATTTAAAAATAAAATTTTGAACTTTTCTTGTTTTCAAACTCATCATATGAAGTGAAAAAATAATGATACTGTCGCTGATTAATCTTAAATTAAATTTTTAACTATATATATTGTTTCGATGAGGAAAATTGAATCTGATTTCTCTGTTAAAACATTTTAAACCTGATTTGATATAATTAGATTTATTGTAATTGATTTTTTCAAGAGGTACTACTGACAAAATATTTCAATTCGTTTTATAACTTTTTTTCCCTTGGTAATTTTGTTTGCAGCGATTCGCGTATATTGTAGGGTATGATTAATTATGTTCATCTGAACTCGACATACAGTACACATTTTTAAACAGGACTTTGGTTTGTATACCTGCCTATTAGACTATGTATCTGACATTATTTATTACATGCGAAGTTCGTATATGGATTATATTTTTATTAAAGTTCGTGTGTAGTACAAGTCCTAGACATATGAAATTGTTTAGAATAAAGTAGTTTTAAGTCAATAACAACAATGCATCGATGTTAGTGGATCTGTTCTTTGAATTTGATGAAAGGAATCACAACTTCTCTTATGTTTAGAGAAAACAGGTCCTGGAACAATATCTCCAAATTTGTAATACCCAATTTCAAACTCATTACCTTCACATTAGTTTAATTGTAAGTATTAATAAATAAATTCAATTTACGTTTTGGCGTTGTTTTTCTAAATTTATTTAAAAATTTAATTTTCTGGGCTTAGTACTTAAAAATCCAAACAGGTTTTTCTTTCATACTTTGTGGATTGCAGTACTGTGATTCCGTAAATCAATGCCTGAAAAATGCCTGAACGCTTTTGTTCTATATTGTGTTTTTAAGAGTTGTTTCCTATTATTAATGTTTGACAAAAGTGCAAAACTGAATTTAAAGGGACATGAATACAGTAGATTCCGTCTCCGACAGGCGTTTGTTGATCTTGAACATCAATATACGCAATAGGAATATTTAGGCTTTTGTTAAAAAAAGCAACAATTTAAAATATTAACTCAGTTACCAATTTTATAGTAGTTTGCAGTACTAGGGTGCAGAAATGCTGAGACTTGTAAATGTCTGAAACTCCTAGATAAAAACAATATTTAAATTAGATGAACACTCGACTGCTAATCAAGTACCATTGTAGAATCACGACCAATTGATGAATAATAAAATAATTTTTTTCACGGGATTGGTCATTCTGGGTAAAGAAACAATTAGTTGTGCCAACGTTTCAAAGTATTTAATTTGTTCACCAGGGCTAGAGTGTAAAACAAATGAACAGTTTCATGAGGACAAGAAACATTTCAATAAATTGATTCATTAATTAATTAACACTATACAAACAAAAACAATTTATAAGCTAAGATAAATAAAACGCCAAACTATAGAAGTGTGATGGCTTGAAATGAAACTTTACCTTTATGATTATTAGTAAGGTGTCTGTTTTCTATAGATGGGGGAAAGTCCAGAACAATGTGGCAGAACTCTCTCTGGTTTATTTACGGCGTGAATCGATTGCGAAGGACGCTTGCCCTGCGGGGGGGCTAAGCCGGCGATTTCGCTTCCCAAAAAGCAAAGGAGACTATTATATTTAATAGAATCCGGAATTGCCCAACTGCATTTCGCGGTCAGTTTTCCTTCACTCTCGCATGCCAGCTAATCCCCTTTCACTTTTCGATACCTGTGAAGGCACAGCTCGACTGCATCCTCTTTCGTTCATTTGGTGTTTTGGAAGGAGCAAAAATCTTAGTTATGTTTGTATAAGTGGCAAATATACTAGATGTTCTCTAACCAGTCCAGAGAAAGCTTCGAACACTGGTGAACATAGCAGAATCTTCGGAACAGTGTATGTTAAGTCAGCGAGATAAGAAGAAGCTCGTGATGGGTGATTTCATGTTTTGTTTCTACAAACGTTTAAGCGGTGACTTTCAACGTTGACTGTGATCTAAAATAACATGTAAATGATTCTTAAATATAGACATAAGTGGATAAATTATAATCGATCAATTTGATTCTAACCAGACTACAGGAAACGTAGAAATAAATCCACAGACTAAGGAGGAAAACAGAATGGGAAGCGAGTTGGGTTAGGAACATTTGACTGTTGATACACGCCCCTCGAGCCACGGGGGGCCATGGAGGGGCAGACCAACGCGGCGAAATATAGCAAAGCAAATTACTGGGACGTGTGGAAGCAAGCGAACATCGTCCCTCAGCGCCCTCGCAGTGCCGTAAGTGCGCGCGTATTCACTCGAGGCAGCGCGAAAGGGCAGGAGGAGTTTTGTTAATATATCATCGTTATTGTTGCTTTCTATGTCTTTCAAGTCTCGAAGAGTTTTAGCGAGTGATAATAAGAACTGTTCCGAAATATGTCATTTGTTCCTCGAAGATCATTTACATAAATACAAAGCAAACTGTGTGGTATGTAACTGATTGTGTCATAATGTTGATACAACACAAAGTATTGATTTTGTATCAATATACCCAACTTTCATTCTATTCCATTCTGTATTTGACTCGTACAAAATACATTGAAATTATTGAACTCCACATTATACATTGTATAAGGTTTAAAAACTGTCGGTTCAAAAAACGTAGTAAAAATAAACTTATTGATCCACATAAAAACTCACCAATTTGAATTCCCATGCACAGAAATTATTTCTCCGAAAAAAGAAATTATTGCCAGAAACAATGTTTTCTTGACTGCTAGTGCTCAGTACAAGTGTTAACATTTCGGCAGTCTCTCAGACAATTTCTTCAAAGCGTATGTGAACTTCTAAGACCATTCATCGTGTGAAGGAACTTCGTGAACCGGGGCGTGAACAGGGCGAAAACATCGCACTTCTGCTAGGATAATCTTGTTGCAGGAAACAACCAAGCTAAAATTAGTGGATTTGTTTCTGAATTGAACGTACTTGCAATGTGTGCTTTACGCACGGACGTATACGGAACTTTTTCACGGGCGTGTTTTGCAACCACATTTTAATGAGTGTCGGAAGAGGCGGCGATCCATAACTCAGGCGTGTGGCTCAGGGCATCATTTGATGTCAATGCAGTGCCTTTGTCAGGGAGGACCTAGGATTCGAATCTCATCGGTAGTAGGATTATCGTAGCCAGGTCGTATGCAGCCACGATCTGGAGAATTCTAGCGGCCGGCTATTCTAGCTGTAGTTTTCCGTGGTTTCTACTATCAACACTAGGCGAATGCCGGAGCAGTACCATATCAAACGGGCCACGCACCTCACTCGATCTTGCCTTCCTCTTCCTTGTTCTATGCCTTACTTCACACACCCATACTTGCGCAACACCACCGCACAAGCCGGCATATCAGTCGGGAGCTCAGAGCTTATCACGGCTGGAGCGGTGCCACACTGGTGGAAGATACGTGATTGGGGAGCCCCCTCCCAAGCCAACGGGTACGTCAGAAAACCCCTCAAGCGCTGCATATCGCCCTCTAGCGGGGAAGATCATGTGATAAAGACATGCACTGCACTTACGGGACTAATGACGTTAGCCGTCAACCCATCCGAAATTACCAAACAGTGACTCGAGGGTGCAGCGTGGTTAGTTGGATTCGACGCCCCGTCCGATTTCAAGCCCCTCCGTAGGCGTGCAAACCGGCCCCTGCCGGAGCAGTACTCTGCGGGTGCATCGTTGCCTCGCGCGCCGCGCCGCTTGGCCCCAGTGACGGTTCGGCACGCGCCGCCCCGCCCGCCTCTCGCCTTATCGCTCGCGGGGCGCTGCGGGGATGCGCCGCGCGCGGGCCGGGCGGGGGCGGGGCGGGGCGGGGGCGGGCGGGGCGGGGCGTGGCGGGGGCGGGGCGCGGCTGCTCGGACCGGTTCTCCCGCGCCCGCTCGCTCGTCCGCCGGCCGCTGCCGTTGCGCGCGGCGCCGCGCGCCCTGACCCCCGACCCGCGATAGGGGCGCGAACCGCCGCGATCCGCGATTCGAGGGCCCGCCGTGGCGACCGCGTGTTTGTTTGCGTCGCGGCCTTGGACTCGCCGGCTCGCGACGCGCCCCGCTAATAGCGACCCGTCGTCGCCGCCGCCGCCGCCACCCGCCCACCCGCCGCCTCACTCGAGGACGCACTGCCCACAGACAGGGTGCGCGCCGACGTCGGCCTACTACTGGACACCACCGCCCGTTGCTCTTCCGTTATGGGCTCCGTGCCGCGCCGCAGATACCCAGGTAAATTGCTTTCTGGGAAACAGGTCCGTTGTCCGATTGCCGAGAGATTCTCTGCAAAATCTATTCATGCAATGACGTATATGCCGAACTTTTGTTGGGTAAACAATAATATATCGGAGTGTTGTTTTTTTTTTTTCATCAAATTAGACTTGCATTGGAATCTGTCAGATCCTTTTCAAGACGTTCTGCTATCCTATTCGACCTCTTAGGATGCGTTTTTGGTGTATTTTAATATGCTGTGATATTTCCTAACAAACTTGTAGCATGATCAATCAATAGGCGTAAAAACGATTTTGTAGTAGCTACTTCTGAGTTTTATCACCATTCAGCCTTAAATTAGTTTCGGTTCTGAAGGTCTCTACCACATTAATAAGAGTATTTTTACAATGACAATGCAGTTCTGGTGGGCAATTCAAATAAATTCACGACCAAAAATAATGTAATTCACTGCGAATATTTAGGCTTATCCACAGATCTTTCCAAGCGCAAAAAGTTTAGAGATGCTATTAAAATATTGCTACAACAACAGCGACGTTAATGCTAATTCGGAAGGTAAGAGATAAATATGTTTTGTAAAATGCCTATCATATTTCTTCATATTTTGATTTCAACACATCCTGGGATTGAATTGCTAAATTTTCAACAATAAAAATATCTAAACATTCTAAGTCATGATTACCTTCAACTGTCATGTGTTTTAATTGATTTTGCATACTATATATGTTTTATTCTGGTCTAGTTTACATTTCTTTCACGGTTGTTAATATGTTTTAAGAACTGACATTTTATTTGACAACAACGTGCATGTAAATTAAGACATTAATGTGACGGCTGGGGATCAATTATGTATAAAATAGTTCATAATCCTTTCTTTGTGGTTTTTCAGTAATATTTTGTATGTTTCCTTTCTTATGAAAGAACTAAACATAGAACTGAGATTTGTAAATGCGTCATCTCATACTGCATTTTGCATCGTACAATATTTCAAATGTAATGGCACCCTGCCAACTCACGCAACATCTTTCTCGCGCACATGATACGCAAAAATCTCGTTTCACCCGCTCGATAAGTTTATTCCCTAGTTTATTGCTTATAAACAAAACAAATTAATTTGGCATTCTGAATTGAATGTTTTTGTTCTAATATAACCTTTATTAAATATAAAATATAGCATTGTTTTAATACAATTAAGACTTCAGATACACACAGGCTTAGATTGATAAAGGGAGATTCGTACTTGGATATTTTTTATTGAAGAGTGACAATTTTCTTCACTTCTGGTAAAATACTCATCGCTACTTTTTTAATAATGGATTTTTTTTATTTTATGGATATTATTAAGAATATTTCATCATTTCATGATCTTTATCATAATTATCAATTGTATTGTATCGTATGTACGGTGTATACCCTCCCTGAACCACCGTAGACGGCCATGCCCCGTTCCACCCAGCTTCGCCACCCCGCCCCACTCTACTTCACCGGACCCACCCTACCCTCCCCTCGCCAGCAATGTTTTCTAAGTTCACCGTTGCTACCTCCATTTGTAAATAGATGATATGAGTATTTGTGAATACCCATGCGTTGTTGCTTATCCCCAGCAAACTAACAATATCAATTTTAATATTCAATTTTTTTAGCATAAGAGTTTTTTAAAATTTGTTAAAAATCTTCTGGATGGATTAGCAAAAAATGATAATTTCTCCATCAGCAGAACGAGACGCGTCGAATCATACGTTATTTGTTACTATTAGGGGGCCGGGCAGGATCTAACCGTGAGTGGCGGACAGGTAGCGGGAAAGACGGACGGGCGCAGGCTTCTCGAAACGAGGGATAGACATATTTTTCCTCAACGAAATTTGTTCTTTCAAGTTAGATCATTAAATGAGGTAATGTACAATTTTTCAAAAATACGAGAAGTTTTCGAATAACTTTGCGAGAAATTCAGGCAATTTTAAAAACACGATTTTCTCAAAAATGGCACCGTTTTCAACAAAGTGTATTCAATATTCTTGTAACGTATAAAATTTTCTTCTCAATGTTCTTTAATTTTATTTAGATAACGAAATTACGCTTTCAGTAATAAAAGGACAAAATTTGTTAATAGAAGTTTACTGAGAGTTAGCAACAATGCATCTGACTACAGCTACCTACAGCAACGTTGCTAGCAAACTCGGCAGGGCGGGGCGGGACGAAACAGGACGAGACGGGTCGAGAGGGACGGGACAGGACGGGGCGTTACGGGGAGGGGTGAGGGGAAGGGTCGGAGCGAGGTGACGCAAGTGGGGCGGAGCCAAGCAGAGTGGAACCGGGAAGATGGGATGGAGCGGGATGAGGTCTTGCGAACCAGGGAAGAGACGCGGCAGCACTGGCCAGGACGGATCAGGACAGAGCAAGGCGAAAGTACATTCCACATCGAATTTGTTCAATTTCATGTCTAATAGAGCGTTGCGGCAATACTGGGCAACACAGATTACTTCAGCTAGTTGGTCATTTTATTAGATTATACCATTGACTAATTCTTCTATTTTTAAGAAAGTTTTCACAATTCCCTGTATTTAACCAATGTAGTCAATAGCGTCCGCGTATCAAGGATGTGCAGTTGGTGGCACATGGTTTCAGTTCTTGATTTTCCTACAGCAACTTCCAGCGGGAGACTGGACATTAAAAATAGTAATAGTAATAATAATAATAATAACAATAATAATAACAATAATAATAATAATAATAATAATAATAATAATACAATCGTTCTAAATTTAACGAATTCGATTTCATTTTATAATGCATTTATAAAGTCTACTTCATCAGTTTAGAATACCTTTCTTCCAACCTATTTCAATCGAAATACACTGGTAAACATATTTTATGAGACTTTTCTGAAGAAAAGAAATAAACAATAAGACATGACTGAGCATTATTAAATATGAATTTTATTACCTAATTCACCTACACGAACTAAATTGTGTTTCTTTTCAGAGCTGTGCTGCCCAATGGGGGAAATTGCGGAGGAGTTACCTGCGGCTCAGGTGAGGACATCATAATTGCCATAGTCTCAAATGGTGTAGCGAGGGGCCTCCGGCGGATGATTTTCATGTGGAAAATGTTTTTGTGTTGTGCGTTTTTATAATAAAAATAAATATTTTACATTATTTCTGGGCTTATCGCATTTCGAGCATAGAAAGTTACAAGAAAAAGTAAAGACTGAAATATTTTTTTGATTCATTCACAATTAAGTTTAATGACCTTCAACCTGATAAATCAAGAAACGATTCATGAGACAGGGCGGGCTTAACTTAGAGCCAGCATTGCCGCGGTCTCTGCAGCGACTCTGGCCGCGAGGTATCGTCGGAAGTGGATTTTCGGCACTAGCTAAATAACTAGCTCAAATTCACCCGCTGACTGGTGGAGAATTCTAGCGCCCAACTGCTCTGATCGGTAGTTTTCCACGGATTCTCCGATCAACAGTAGGAAAAAGCCGGAGCAGTGCCCTAAAACGGGTCACGGATCGGGCGCGATCTTTGCTTGCCCTATTTTCTCCCCTTACACCACTTACATCCACTACACTACCACTTACGTCCTGCGACCAGTCGGAAGCTTATCTCTTATTCTGGCTGGGGCGGTGCGCTGCAGGGTGAAGATCCCTCAGGGAAATCCCTTGCAAATCCCGTGCCAGATCTCACCATTCACCGCCACCTCCCGCGATAAAAACATCTTACTTACGGAACTAATGACTGCAGCAGTTGACGTGCCCGGAAACCTTACTGAATAGAACAATTCATGTAATGCTGGAAAGGCTGCATAATAAATCACAACGTTTCGCCACTGTGTCAGTGAAATCAGGAAAATTCGTTTCTTCCTAGAATTTTACCAAAATGTTCCAGAAGGATCCCGCTAAAATTAGTGCAAATTTTAATAATCTATTCTATATTTCGGTGCTCAAATTAGTATTTTACTTTATCCGCCATATGGTAAGGATATGCCAAACGTGTGACGTATTTGAACTCTTAAAATTAAGAATAATTTTTACTAGAACTATGGTGTACCAAAATTGAAGCGAAAGGAAAATACGGAACGATTTACTAAAATGTTCACTCTTATATTTCTTGTATAGCGACAATGTTGATTTTATGACGCTCTAAAAAGTACTGAAAACTCTTTACATCATGTGTAGTTGTTATTTACAAACCTAGTAGAGAAAGTGATTATTTGGCGTACGCATGAACCGACGCCGGCATTTTGAAATGAGTGCGCTCGAAATGCGTACGAGATGCATTCATCATTTTTTAGTGCACATTCACGGAAAATTACAAATACATAGCCTTGAGTATCATTATCAAAATGCGTGCCGCATTCACGACCCCCCAGTATTTTTACTTTGCAGAACTCAGTTGTTTTATATGGCCATGAGTTCTTTGCGGTATGCGTACGGCAAAGTCTACTTTCCGTCTCCATATCGCAAACTCACACTTTCCAAACAATAAACAGTGTGATAAGTACTAGTTTGCAAGCAATAGTTCTGAAAAGGATATTTCATCCTTAACAATGAAAGATCTTTTTCAGTACACGTGCATGGAAGGTAGAGATATCCCTACACCAGTTCTTTCGCTTGATTTGTTACTGGGATGCATTTCCTGCAGACTCGTAAATAATCGGAATTACTGAAAATAATTTCCATTCAATACCTGTAATCTCGTATTTTATTCCTTTTAAAACTTTCTTCAGTAAAACCAAGAGAATCGCAATACATGTGTGATATTCAAATACCATTGCAATCACTGCAACAACTCTTTGCACTGAGTAGCTGCATCTCCTTATTCGTTTGCACACGGGGGTTGGGAGGGGGCGATGCGTCCTTTGAAAACTTTGAAAGGGCTTGCAAACATTTTGTTTCGTTAAATGTGTTGAATTCACGTGTTTCTCCTCTTTAACCTGACAATTTGGAAAATTGTTATCCAATTGGGGAAGAGGCACTCCAAGCAATCTATCAACTTACAAAGAAATTGTTAAGCATAAAATAAATTGTATGTATAAATTGTATCAGTAAAGTTATAATTTCATTTTCGTTGTAGTAAGTTTTTAACATTTACTAATATAATATATGTCAATAAAGATCAAAGAAAAAAGTCTCAGAAATATATGTTGCTGCCCCCTCATAATTTAGGTTGCGTACCTAGGTGTATATCCTATACAATCCTTAATTATCACTTAACGACTGCTAGGTCTTTGGATTACCGAAGAAATTTCTGAAGGACGGTAGGACGCAAATAAGTTCTCGAGAGGTTGAAGTGTTGCCTATTCAGCAGGCGTTTCTAACATTCACTTATGTTTCTCCTTTAAGTATTGTAAGTTTACCTCCAGAAATGATCAAGTTAATTCAGGTATTGTTTTTCCATACCAACAAAATATACTAATTCTTATTCACTTTGGAAATCCGCTGGTAAACTACTTTCATTTTCTGCAATCACCATAACTGAACATCATAATTAAAGCAGTTTTCATATCAAATAGGCATCGTACAGGTTCGCGATTCGGTCGAAACAAGGAGAGAAAAGATCGTACAATTTAAAAATTGTTGGGTTACTGGGTTAGACAAAAATGCATACTGTAATGTAATATCATACTCTTCTAGGCAACTTTTTTCACATGGTGAATTTGAACTAAACATACAAACTGACAGGATAGAATAAAAAATTTTCGTCTAGACAGATATTTTCATTTGAGTTAATGTGTAATTTTACTTCAAGTTAAATTGCACTTCCTTCAAAAATCGTATTGAAATGTCTGGAAGTAGTATATTTAAAGTATTTTCTTCAAGCTGACGGTATATTGAAGGCGAAAAATACTTTCTAGCTACTAATGATTTGAGAGAAATATATTTTAAGAAAACATATTTTATAGCTTTGATGAAAATATTGATTGTTAATTAAAGACTTTATGGAGCAAATATGTGAGCTGTTCTGCTATGAAAGTTATAATGATGCTTTGTGAAGAAAATATGACTTTGTGCTAAATGTGAACTTCTATTGAACTAAAAATACACACTTTATTAACTTTGCAAAATATTTATCATACGACCATCAGTAATCTCTATTGCACAGACGTGTGTGGCCCATGTCTTTTACTGTGTGTTGACTAAATAAATCAGACCGTGGTCTCATTAGCCTATCACAATGTATAATGAGACTGAAAATTAAAATGTTAGTCTTAATTTTAATTGTTTTCTTTTTGCACGACCAATTTTTATGAAAAATAGATAAATTAATTTTGTTATTTTTCTCTAGAGTGATAGTGACGGGAGTTCTACAAGCCTCGACGTAGGAGAAAGTTCAGATAACCCATTAAACCGATGCAGGTAAATATGGAGATAAGCTCTACACATTGAGTTTAAGAAGAGAAATCTCTTCAGATCACTAATCAGAGACATTATTGTAGGTGGGCAGGTTGTGGCAGATGGTTTGGACATCTAGATCTACTTGCATCACATGTCACAAGAGTTCATGCAACATGTGGGCAAGGTGGCCTGTTTTATTGTGGATGGGAAGGCTGTGCTCGAGGAAATAGAGGTTTCAATGCCAGGTAATCTCTCAATTCTTTTTAAATGATTATTTACAAGAGAAATATTTGCAAATTGAACTTTAAGAAAAAGGGAAAAATAAAATATAGTACATGCAGCTACAGCTCTCAAGTATAAGTTTTGTCGTTGTTTTTTCCAGATATAAAATGCTGGTCCATGTAAGAACCCATACAAATGAAAAGCCTCATCAGTGTTTCAAATGTGATAAAAGTTTCAGTCGAGCAGAAAATTTGAAAATTCATGCTCGCTCACATACAGGTAAGACACAAGTAAAATTATGAAGTCAAAGAAAAGTTCATTATTTTCAAATGTATTTACGTTATTTATTACGTATTTTTATATATTGCAGGTGAACGTCCATATGTATGTCCCGTACCAGGATGTGGGAAAGCTTATTCCAATTCCAGTGATCGGTTCAAACACACAAGAACACATTCGGTTGATAAGCCCTACATGTGCAAAGTTCCTGGATGTTCTAAGAGATACACAGATCCTAGTTCCTTGCGAAAACATGTCAAAACGTACCGTCATTTCCAAAATGTCTGTCAAGAAAAGATGAACGACCCAATTACAGATAATCAAATTTATAATGAAGAAACGCTTCAGTTTCATAACTCAGGACATAGCACATCAGAAAATGAAGAAGAACACACAAAGGAAAATCTAATAGAACCAATGGAAGAATCCAATTCATTTCCAAACCAATCTGACTCTTCAAATAATTGTTTTGGAGATAGATTTTCTGAAATAAATAACCAATCCTTTTCAAATTCTACGGAATCATCTGATGTGTCTTATTTTGGTTCAAATTCATGTCACTTTCATCAGTGGCCTAGACCAGAGTACAATTTGTTTTGCTCTTGGTTGTCGTTATGGAGTAATTCTCTTTCAAACAACCAGGAACAAGATTTGCCATTAGATCTTACTGTGCATAGAACAACAGGAAGAATATAAGACATGAGAAAAAAGAAAATTCTTCCTCTTAGTACAAAATGAAGTTTCCACTGTTCTTATGAGTATATAAAAAGAGTCAAGTAGATATCTCATTAAAAAAAGATACAGTGAATTGAGACTTTTAATACACACCTCATGCTAATATTGTACAAAGACTTTCAAACAAATAAAATTCAGCTTTTATAATTAAAAGATTGATTTCTGAAACTGGTGATATTTAAACATTAATCATGAAATATATTTCGAAGTCAATAGAAATATTATCCTTTTTTTCCGTTGGTACTTCTTTCACTGCTTAAATTGATTACAACAATATAAGAAAGCCAGCAATGATATTACAATATTTGAATTTAGATTTAGTGAAAATATTTTATGGTAAAAAAACAAAACAATATTCTATCCATTATTAATCTTCGAAACATTGTTTACTTTCCAAGTCTGAAAAATTACTCATTCAAAAGTTGCTATTGTGTATTCAAGTGGTGTCACTATTTTCACTTATGGATTGAAGTTATCAATTAAGTATTTCAGCAGAATGTTGGAAAATTAACAAAAAGTCCTTAATATTTATTTATTTACTTATTTATTCATTTTGTAAATACATGTAAATACTAGAACATATTTATCAAGTCATTATTCTTCAACTTTTAATACATGTGAATGGTATATTTCTGTACCAAAATAAGGATTGCTAAAAATTCATCACGAAAGTGATTTGAAATATCTGTACTTAGAAAACAGATGTGTAAATTAAAAGAAATTAAATGGAGTATAATAAAAAGTCAATATAAATGTACTGATTTCAAGTCAAAAAGAGTTACCATAATAATGTACAATTAAAGGACAGCTGATTGAAAAAAATGCAATCCAAAACTAAGTCAGTATGAATTGTATTGCTTGTAAATATTTATGTGTAATGTAAATATTATAAATGTTTTATTTGATTCAAAGGATCTTCTCTTCTTTACTGACCTTTCCTCTTCAAATTCTGTCAGTGTTTTTGAATAATTCAGTGTCTTGGCTCCATAATATTGCCCCAAAGAACAAAGTTCACAATCTTTTCAGTACATCAGTTTAAAATACCAAACCTTTTATTATTACTGTACAAAGTAATTAAACAAAATAAAATAATGCAGACCAGAGAAACTACTCTGGTCTTACATAGAAATAATTACTTTCCTTACTTCAAACAAATGAATGTTACTAGGGATTGTGTAATACAGAACTTTACTATGACTGTACTTTTTTGATCGCTTCTCCCTAGTGGCCAATCATAAACTGTGACTCATCTATCTTAGGAGGCGATTAATTGATGCCACTCGTGCTTTTTAAATTCTGAAATAAATCCCCTCCTCGCTTCACGAGTCGGGGATTTATCGACAATTTCCAAAGCACTCGTATTACCTATGGTAACCACATCACTCACAGTACTTAGCCTGGTCAATCCATGTAGAATTTGTAATGAACAATGTGGTTATGTCAATGATTTTGTAGATTCATTGACTCTCAACTATATACTGTGATGGGACTCATCTAGCCTGCTTGAGACTAGCGCAGATAATCAATATCGGATGTGGATGCGTTCCCCTGTTCTACGCTCTACTTCGCAATTTTGATGTCGCCAAGTTGAGGGCTGCCCGGCCGCTCTTCCTATGGCAAGCATGCACAGATCTACTAACATTTGTTCTAACTTAAGTGATGAATGACAGATGCTAATGAGCTTGGATATTAGGATGGTAATTAAAAGAATTATTTTTGACTGGTAAAGGTCGTTTACTCTACAAAAAGGAATTTTCGTACAGTTTAGTCGCAAAGCACATTATTTCAATTACTACTACTATAATCTACAGAATTTCTACTCATTATCTTTCTTTCTTCTTGCGAATGAAGTTGCAAAAATTGTATTTTGCACATACCATTGTTTCCTGCTTCCTTCCTTGCTGAGGCCAGAGGTTCCCGGAACATTGCCCAACAGCACGGAGAGGTGTGAAACGCTGCGCCTCCCTCTCTGCTGACGCATCTTTCTGCCGAGCCGCAAAGGGCCTTCCACAGATCGCTGCCCTCGGCACTGGGCCGGCGCGCCTCCATCCCGCCGTTATTGGCAGTGTGACGTCATGTCAGTCGCCTTGTACAAACCGGACAAAATATTAGCCACGTGCATTTCATGCTCATGAAATGCACGAGGGAGTAGTTGCGACAGCGGGCAGCGCTGGCGGGAAGGGACGCCGCGCTGAACAATGGCAAACCTAGGGAGCAGAAGGGAAGGGGCGCAGTGTTGTGGGTGGCTACTTGTGAACCCCTTTTACCACTTGGGGCACACTTGTGAACCCCGTAGACATGCTGGCTGTGGAAACGCATCGGCGGAAACAGCAAGATGGCGCAGTCCCGTCAGCCGGCCCAGAGAGTAATATAAGCGGATCCCGGACATAAACTCCTTCTGATTCTTGGGCGGGTCGGTAGGAAGTCCTGTGGGTTGTGCGCGGCGCGGCATTTCAATGCATAGGCTACTGAGGCAGGGAACTGAAGCCGGCGTGCTACGTCGAGACGGGAGGTGCGGCATACCCGCTTTATGCGCTCGTAGGTCAACTGGTGCATCACCCCGAACAAGATATCAAATTATCAGGCCAGCGGTTGTGGTGACCAGGAACATTCCTTCTAGTAACGGGTCGATCTTGTTTATTGTAATTATTGTAAATAGTATTCAAGTGTTGAGCATATTTCGAATAAAACTCAATAAATTACAAACCGTTCACGTCTGTAAATTATTGCCCCAGCAAAGACGCCCCAGCAGCAGCTCCTGGTCAGAGTTCCGTATTCTGTTCACCTACGCCGCCGTCGTTAATCACGACGTTCATTTTTATACGAGTAGTGATTAGTACTGCGGTAGTCATTTTAAGTTCATTTCACCGCTGCTAATGTCAATAAGTACTGTGCTCGATCTAAAACGAACTCCAGTTGATCGCGGGAAGTTCTACTATCACGTGAGCTTAACTTAATCGTTGCATGATTCCGCCTGCACCTCGATCGCTTCCTGAAACTTTTTCTCTGCGACCGTTCGCTAGAGCTCACACATCTCATCTCTCGTCTCGCCTCGGGCCCTCACACCCCGGAGCCGTTTCTTTCCCTCCCGTTGTTGTTGGCGAAACTCCGTCCTTTTAGATAATCCAATAACTACCCATTTTCCACTTCGCATTTGTCCTCGGTTTTTCTTTTGGGCATCGGGGCTTCGGTCAGCGCGATACGTCTACCCCGCTCTGGAAGCTTGCCCTCGAACACATACAGCTTCAAAAATCCTGGTGAGAGCCATTGTATACCCAAGATCGCCATTGTTGTTCTAAGAGTGATAGGTTTATTGGTGGGCAGCTTGCTCACGCTCTGGCCTCGTTACGCCTGCCTGCTCGATTAGTGGCGTCGGCAATGAGCGCGACGGCGTTCGTCAGCGCGCCGCTTTGCCTATGTCCTTTTATCGTGCCATTATGCAGTAGCCGGCTCAAGGTTCATCATTGTTCCGCGATGCCCGGAACCCTCTCCCCGTGGCGCGCGTTGGTCTGCACCGCGTCTGATCTCGCAGCCCACACCCTCTCTGTCGAGTTAGTCATAAACATTCCAGGGGAGAAAGCCCTTCGCCCGGCCCCCTCGCAGCTGCGCGGCGCGCAATTCGTAAGGATCCGAACAACATCTGCTTCCGTCCGCTTTTTCCACTCGTCCGCGTGACCTAAATTCTCTTTCTTATTCTTATTCCTTTTTAATATTTTATTCACATAATGGATTCAAAACAAGACAGTCTTTAAATTCTTGGGGCGGAAATTGTTCAAGAGTGAATGACATCAGCGGCACTCTCAACCCAGTTCCACGAATGGCGATCGCTCTGGTGGATGCTCTCAAGTTACACTCTGGCTGACAATTGCGCATCGTATTCCATTGTCTCATCTCGGCGATTGTACCACTGTTCTTGGTGGGGAATCCAATTCTTCAATTAAACACACAGATGTCACATAATTTCCTTTCAGGACAAGAGATTATGGAAGGATTTGTAGCATAAACGTAATAAAGAGATTCGCAACGCCACCTACGCTTCAAACACAAAGGCGGCTGGCGGGGATGGGCGGCGGGGTTGCAACTCTACCCAGTCCTTGTCAGAATTATTTAATTTATGTTTGATATTAAAATAAAATATGAGAAATAGTATTTCTTTCAATTGTATGACCAATATCGCTCACTGCTGGGGCGTGTGTAACTTGCGAAAAGCTTCCGCCGTGATCTGCTGCCTTTCCATTTCCCTTCCAGGGACTGCCAGGCCCAGCTGCATGCTGCGGAGTATGGACGTAGTTGATTTCGCTTATCCCGCTATTCATCTTTATCAATATTGGGATTCTAGGGCCTGCAGCAAAGACAGTACCTTCCTCAGTTTTGCACGAACTTTACATGATTTTTAAAGCTCTGACCGACGTGTGATATAATTGAGGTGTTCTATATTGAATTTTTCTGTTTTTTACTTTCTCGTTACTGTAGAGAAAAAGTTATGTAATGCTGAGCAAAATAACAGATAAATTGGTGGATAAATTGTTACTAAATATTAGAAATAAAAATCCTTAACACGTAGTGTAGTCAGAATCCATGTTTTGTGGGTCCTTGATACCAAAAAATCGAATGACGGCAAAACGTATCTTCCCATTCGTCTGTCAACAATGCTAGCGGCTTAATTGTTCAGCCGATTTTCTCCAAATTTGTTATTCCCCAATCGATCTGGCTGATGTAGCGGCTCCTTGCATTTTTGGGGGGACTTCACATGAAGCCTCTGGGACATATTCATTTTTTTAATGGCTCAATCCTTTTTAATTAAATTTTGTTTTTGGATAGTGTGATGACCATTTAAGAGAATGATGATGGTCGCATTTTCGTTGAAAACTCAGATTTTTCGAAAATTGAAACAGTTCGAAATTTTTTTGGGTTCTTCCTAGAACTAAAATATTGAAGATAAATATTTTTTACTTAATGAAATCTCTCCACAAAGATAGATTTTAATAAATAGGTCATGTACAATTTTTCAAAATTTTGAGCAATTTTTCGTGAAAGTACGTGGCAGAAAGTAAGTGCTGTTTTACTACATAGTTTGTATTTAGAATGAATGCGAATAGTAATTAGTGTTCAATATTAAAAAATTGTGAAATTTAGAGCCTTAACACTCGAAGAAAAGTGCTATATAAAACTCGCGGTGGACCTACACTGGTTTTGAACACATAATGCATTTTATATTATTACATGCAGCCCCCCATTAATTAAAGGCACAAACCGCCACAGAACACAAGTGAAAACATTAATTTCTTGGGTGAGTGTGGAATTTCTACTGATCAAATCGCTCCTCACCAATTACTTATCCAGCATTAAACATATACAACGTAAACAGGACCAAAGTTTAAAAAATATAATTAAAAACCAAATATCCTATTTTAAAATACTAAACTCTCCAGCCAGAATTAACTAAGCAAAAATAATACAATAATAAATAGAATCGGCAAACTCAACCATAGCAGAAGTTAATAAACAACTTTGTCATGTATAATTTATATTCAAGAATTGGACACACATAATTATGACTAAAATTAAATATAATTTAATTAATAATTTATGCGCGGTCAATTTTGTCTATAGGACATCATTAATTTTTAAATTAAGTATTGTGATGCGTTACCACTACAAAAGGAGGTTTGCCGACACACATAAGGTGCATCGGTGGATCAAGGACAACATGGCACATACGCTAAATTTCTTCATAGGGCGCCAGGCCTGCATCTTACCTGTCATCCAGCTGCCGGCATTGAGCAACTCAGGAGGTGAGCGGTCTGGGTCGAAGGATTGCATTTTGTTTACTAGTTAATGAAATGATACACAAAGATAAAATTTTATCAAGTGCACCTCGTCTGAGCGGCGGGAACACATTTATTAAAGT